AGATATACTCCCACTCTGTTGAAGCTGGGATAAAAAAAGAGGCTTAGTAAAGCATGAATTTCCCCAACTGGTATACTCCCACTCAGTTGAAGCTGGGGTATAAAACGAGGCTTGATGGAGCATTTATTTACAAACTAGTATACTCCCACTCAGTTGAAGCTAGGGTATAAAGAGAGGCTTGGTGGAGTATGTATTTCCCCCAACTGGTATACTCCCACTCAGTTGAAGCTGGGGTATAAAAAGAGGCTTGGTGGAGCATGTATTTCCCCCAACTGGTATACTCCCACTCAGTTGATGCTGGGGTATAAAGAGAGGCTTGGTGGAGCATATAATTGCCCAACTGGTATAATCCTACTCAGTTGAAGCTGGGGTATAAAGAGAGGCTTGGTGGGGCATGTATTTCCCCAACTGGTATACTCCCACTCAGTTGAAGCTGGGGTATAAAAAGAGGCTTGGTGGAGCATGTATTTCCCCCAACTGGTATACTCCCACTCAGTTGAAGCTGGGGTATAAAGAGAAGCTTGGTACAGCATGTATTTCCCCAACTGGTCTACTCCCACTCAGTTGAAGCTAGGGTATAAAGAGAGGCTTGGTGGAGCATGTTTTCCCCAACTGGTATACTCATACTTTTTGGCATGGGGCTTCGGTAGTCAAAGGGGTATGAAACATACAGAATACCCCCTTTATATTTAAACTCACGGAGTAATCACATTCCCATATCATTCACATACAGCACTGTTAAAATACAATGTTATTCAAGTAGTTTAAGATACCACATCCCATTTTAGAACTACGAGAGGTCATTTTACAAAATGTAATCATCTCTGAAACTCATATATCTTTTATTCCCTGTGTCAAGGCTCTTTGAAGAGAGGAGATGAACCACAGCTGTTATGCAATAATAGGTTTGTTTCCTGTTAACAATGGTCAATAAAATTTAAAAGTACTTTCCAAAATCAATGCAAGACTCACTGATGAAGTATATTACATTGTATAAAAAAAAATCAAGAAACAATGGAAGGGAGACAACTGTGATTTTATAAAAAGTACATTTACCTTTATTAACAAAAAGGATATTTTTTAAGGAATGGAGACTTCCATTTGAACCCCTCAATTGTCAAAATAAGCTTACATACATTAAGAGGGTTCAAAAGGAAGTTGTCATTTTTCAAGAAAAATTTAACTCAATAGAAAATCTCAAACAGGTTCTACCCACGGTAAATAAATGACATTGTTGTTTCAGGGGAGACCATTTCAAAATTCAGCCAATCAGAATATAAGTTTTCTCAGCCAGTCAGAATATAGATTTTCTCAGCCACATGCAGGATTCAAACTCACAACCTCAGTGTTACATTGTAACAGGCTAATGAGACAGTAGTTGAACTTTACTTACCTGAAGACTCCCAATTTGAATCAAAGATTGTCTCTGGAGGTTCCAATGTTTTTTCTTCTCATTAAAATCATATGATTATTATTGCATACATATTTCCTGCCAAGTTTGACCAAATTTTTTTTTAGTTTGAATTTGGTTTATTAAGAGTCAAAGACTGCTTCTGGAGGTCACATTTTTCATCCAATCAAAACAAAATGCAGATCATTTATACATGTAGAACATAAGATGACCATACAAAGTTTGGTTAATATTTACTCATTAGTCTTAGAGACTATTAGGGTTGATAGCTTAACGCAAAATGAAAGATTTTAATAATTTAGTAGGGGGTCGAAGCTACATGTAGATACAATAGGTAAAATGAAACATCATTACTTAGTACTCCCAAGATATTCTCAACAAAATCATCCCCTTTAAAAAGTCTGAGTCGTCTGACAGTTTTTCTGCTTTTTGCCCTAATTGTAGATCTTGTTTTGCTAATAATTTTTGCTGTTTACAGTTTCTATCTGTCTGCTTAAGTTTTTTGCCCTAACACTAAAACTCCTTTAAGGAGTCAAGTTCGGCTATGTTGACCTTTTTATAGATCTTGTCTTGCTGTTAAAAGTATTTCTCTGTCTATTACCTTTTTTTCAAATAATGGACATAAACCCCAAAAAATAAGTAAAATATCATCATACAAGTTCTATATTACTATAAGGAGTCAACTGACAATTTCAGCCATTTGACTTATTTGTAAATCTAGTCTTGCTGATCATTTTTACCGTTCAAAGTTTCTCTCTAATTCTCTATATTAAAATTTTCAAATGCAAGCAAAAACCAAATAAATGTATGTTCTACAATGTTCTTTGTCACCATGTTGGTTGGCTGGCTGAATAATCGGACACTTATTTTTAACTTGATACCCCAAGGATGATTGTGTCCAATTTTGGTTCAATTTGGAACAGCCTTTTCAGAGATTTTCGTAAAAACAAAAAGTTAACAGACAGGCTTCCCACAGTCAGGTAAGTTGATAGGTGGAAAAAGCAAAATGCACTAGAGCTGTAGAGTATTATTAGACATGATTGATTGATAGATTGATTGTTGCTAACTTCACACCCAGTAGCAATTAGTACATGCATATTTAGGACTGAAACTACAAGTAATTAATACAATATGTAGGCTCTTCACGGTGGGTTGACAGGGATGAAGGGTAAGATATTGTAACTGCTACTGGAAAACAATGGTGTGCTGAATAGGGAAAAAAATTTGCCTTGCAATAGGCAACATATGAATCCCTAACTTGTGCCATGGTTGAAAGGTAAGGTCTTTAGCTACCACTATTTTTATGCACAATTAGAACCAATTGACTATAACTGCATAACAAATTTTAGAAACCATCTTGAATTATAATCCAAAGGGTCCACCAAATTAATGTTTAATGCCCTTAGGAAAATCATGCTAATGATTGCTAATTTCTTGTACAGGTACAAATGTAGACACACCCAACAGGAGAATACATAGATCAGACAATTATCTGCATTACTAATTTATTTAATTACTTTCCGGAAAATGCTAATGACACTTTAGATTACGAAATTAAACTTTATAATATTCAATTAGAAAAAAAAAACACTGAACAAGTTGAATATTTGCCTTTGATCCAATATTGACTTACGTAATAAGCATTCCCCTATTTTTTTAGGGAGTTCAAGATTAGACTCTTAATCATGTTTATCGTAAATTACAACACAATTTCATGCCAAATAACCTGTCATATACAACAATTATCAATCTAATTAAAGTAAATATACGAAAGTATTATATGCCACTTGAAAATCTAAGATATTTCGTAACGTAGTTCCTCATTTCTTTATAGTTTTTACAATTAATTTGATACATCTTGTTTATATTCTTTGTCTCAGAATAGAAGGATTCATGGTCTATTTTTATGGCATTTAATATTTTAGATCTTTAATATACTTCAATTTTTTGCAATTGCAGTCCTCAAATCTGTTTAGAAAAAATTGTACAAATTTTTTGTTGTTGATGCTGCAAACTGTTGATACTAATTTGTTTATTTGACTTGTCCTCTGATTTGAATTTGACATATCCATTATTGAGGAAAAACCACCACCATTTTTTAAGTCCTTACTTAACAACAAAATTAACTAGAGAGAAAATTTCTGAACCATTGGTTCACAATGTATTTAAGGTTAAAATAGAACTCTTGATCTGTCTACTCAACAGAGAAAGAACTAACGCCAGATTCTAACTTAATCACAGGTGTTGAGTAATCTCATGGTTGTCATTGTTGATTAAGAGAAACCAGGCTTGATGTTGGAATCAGAGGCAGATTTAGGGGGGCGGGGGGCCAAGGGGGCCCGGGCCCCCACTTTTCTGAGAAAAATTTGGTTGATTATATAGAGAATCATTGAAGCATGACCTAAGCGGGCCCCCTCTTAGGCAGTCAGTGGGCCCCCACTTAGGAAAATTTCTGGATCCGCCACTGGGAATTGTTACACAATTACAATGAATTAATGATAATACATATAGGTAATTCCATAATGAAATTAATATTAATATAACAAATAATATATTAGTATATTCACTATTCCAACAAAATCATGAAAATGGAGAAATGATTAATTTTGATTGTGACATGCAGTGTTTTGTCCTTTTGAAAGTTCCTCGATAGATTCAGGTACGGTGTATTGCTGTTTCAAATAGCTAAACTTATACAGCTTTTATCCCTTTTTTCCAGGTAACACGGTCACCTGCCTCATATAGACTTTATAGCTATTCGGGAATCTGTGACACTACATTGTAGTTGAACTATTGATGTTATACATGTACAACAATCACTTTTTCTTTGTGGCGTCAGACATTTTTTATTGTGACCTTAAAATTTTGCTGGAACCTTTGTGATGTCCAGTAATCAGGTAATGGCGGACAAATAGCAATAAGGTGTATTAAATTGTAACAGGATTGCTACAAGAACCAAAACCAAGTAGGCCAAACAAACGCCATAGAGTCATGCAACTGTGGAGCACCTGAAACACCTCATCACTTTCTCCTAGTGTCCTTGCTATGAGAACGAACAAGAAGATATGTTCCATGAAATATCCAGAGGTCAGGATCCGAAACCCTTGATTTAGCTACATTGTACCATATTAACCAGACTAGAAGGCAAGAACATCGAAGAGACGAAAGCCAAACTATGAACAGTGGCAAATTATATCGACAGAACTGGCAGATTTGATACTGCAGTTCTTCAATCCCAATCTTAACCAGCCCATACCCTTTAAAAGCACAGAGAGAAAATATGTTCAGCATCACGCAGGAAGAAGTGAATCTGCACATTTGAGACAATTTGTGCCCACAGCCACAGGCCTCTTGAAGATTGAGGATTGCTTCCTTTAAATAGTAAATACTTAGGCAGTTGTAAACGTTTGAGCTAGGGAAGTTGTTTAGATCAGTTTGAATACTACAGGAGATGGTGTGATTTTCTATTAAGAATCACCCTCTCTGGTTACAAAATTAAAGGCCAATTTGACCACCTACAGTACAGGTCTTCTTAGAGGTTTTTATATCAAAATTAAACAATACTGTTCAGGATGTTGAATTGATTTACCTTGGTATAGTTATACATTTTGTTGATTCGTCCTGCCTGGTGATTGCCTTTTCCAATTCATCAAGACCTCCCGTTTTCTTTAGTTTTTTCACCAAACTTTTGACGGCCTTTTCACTCCATTTGTCATCCCTTTCAGAACTGTCTCCTTTTTTCCACCCTAACAAACGCTTTACAATAGGGGGTGTAAAAGGAGACAGTGTTGTCATTTTCTGGGCCTGAAATTTGTAATTTCAATCTTGACTGAGGCTTTTAGACTATAAAATTGAGATTCATAACAAAATGACACTACGCTAAAATTGACCGGAAGTTTAGATTAATTGGAGCATGCGTAACACATTTTGCTATACATATTTCTCCTTTGACGGAGCACCGTCTTTTTGTCAATCAATGGAGAAAAGAGGATAGTTGGATAATAATAATAATATTTGTAATTAATTTACCGAATGTAAGTCATTCAATGATTACATGATACCAAAGAGACATTCAAAAGCCTTTATATACTTTTTCCCTGCAACCGTGAAATTATGGAATAACTCTCTCTTTCTATTTAAAAAACATATTTGTAAACAAAATAAGAAGGTTCCCACACATTATTATGTTGGAAATCGCATTGGACAAATTCTCCATGCACGCTTGCGAATGAACTCTAGTGCTTTAAACTCCGATTTATTTTTACGTAATTTAGTGGATTCGCCAAATTGTCGTTGTGGTGCTATAGAAACAAGCTCTCATTTTTTATTAACGTGTCCTTACTATACTAACATACGCCAAGTGCTACTGAATTCTCTTGCTGATTTTCCGCAGCGTATTGATGTAAATATTTTGCTTTTTGGGTCAGATTGTTTAACTGATGAAGAAAATTGTACTCGTTTTGTATTGGTACAAAAATACATATTGAAAAGTAAAAGATTCACACCATAATATGAAAGCATCATTTATATGTTTTCCTTGCATTTCATTTAGCTCATTTCAATCACTTGTTTTTTGTTTTTTGTTTTTGTTTTTGTTTTTCTCCCTTTTTTCTCAAACTATATAGTCAATCTTTTTTTGTATTTACTATTCTTAATATATTTCAATTGACAGAGCATGCTCCAAGTATTCATTATATTGTATGTCAACATTCTTTTGGAGACAGATTAAAATAAGCAATGTTGCTTGTTTCTGAATCCCATTGTTTATACTGTATTATATTATATAGCATGATTTGACTTATCGAATAAAATATTGTTTAAACCAAAAGCCTTTGACCAAAAAGGGTGAAGGTTTGGTACCATTAAAACGTTTAAACCCGCTGCATTTGTTTGCACCTGTCCTAAGTCAGGAATCTGATGTTCAGTAGTTGCCGTTTGTTGATGTGGTTCATAAGTGTTTCTCGTTTCTCGTTTTTTATATAGATTAGACCGTTGGTTTTCCCGTTTGAATGGTTTTACACTAGTAATTTTTTGGGGCCCTTTATAGCTTACTGTTCGGTGTGAGCCAAGGCTCCGTGTTGAAGACCGTACTGTGACCTATAATGGTTTACTTTTATAAATTTTGACTTGGATGGAGAGTTGTCTCATTGGCACTCATACCACATCTTCTTATATCTATATATGAAAAAAAAAACTACAGTCTACAATACACTACATACAAAACTTGCACTGGCTACAGTTACTCGCAAGAAAGTAACAACAAGGAATAGTTATTGTTACTTCCAAGACTAATTGCCGATTTGAATTTCCGGAGAGGGAGCCAATTCCATACGGAAATTGCAGGTAACAATAATATATTTTTTTATTGTTACCTGCAGTCATTGTTACCCGCAAAATATATCAAAAATGTTTGATTTCACGGCGAGCAATCTGTGAAATAAATTTTAAATTTATGATGTAAAAACATTAACATGATTAAACTTACAGATATTGTGACAGTTGTTGTCAGTTTTGCCATCGATATAGTCTAGAAAAAAAAAATCTGAAATGGGACCGGAAAAACAGCAGAATCTATATAAATCGCTATTCTGCCGGAGCCGGTAAAATAGCACTAAGCTAGGCGGCTATTTTGCCATAAAAAAAACGGGAATAAGGCAGCAATGTTTGGTATTTACAGGCACTGCAAAAACATTTTTGGCCACCACACCCGGAGCAGAATTTTATATTTGGTATGCAGCTTAATATTGTTGAATTGTAGCGTGTTAGTAATTTTACATCTGCCGAGCAGTCGCGTCCTGTTTGCCAATAGTTTGAAATTTTACAACACTCATTTGACAGGAAAAAATTTTCATGCAGCGACGTTTTGATGTACTCTTTTGAGAATATTAACCAGAAGGCATTAGATTCTGAAACGGCGAATTGAAAGAACCATTACAATCAAGTAGTTTCTCTTAAATATTCAAAGACGTTTTTACCATTTTATTTTCACAATTAAATAGATAATAAGGAACTAGTCTAAATGACAGAAAGATTAGTTGTAGATCACTTACTCGAAGCTGAGGTGAAAACATATTTGACCGAGCATTAATGAGTAGTGTAGGTAGCCAATACACAGTATTTTGATGTAGATTTGCAAAGATACTAAGGTTCAATTATGAAACAAAATATTTGAGATTGAATCTCTAGCAATATTTGCCACTGCACTTTAAGCAATTAACAATCAATCAATCAATCTAGTAGCGGAGTAAGAGAAACTTAACTACATGAGGGATCATTACTGTGATTTGAACATTGGAATTGCTTATGCAAAAACGAATCCATTTGTTTACATCAGTGCCAAATCCAGAGAAGAAAATAATATTAAAAAAATATAAAACCTTTAGACAGTATTGTAAAGAAAGAAACATAATACAAAAAAATATTTGAGAAAGATAGAAAATGATTAGTTTGAAACCTGTCATAAATTCTCTAAAATATACATTATCTAGCACTAATTGTATATTTTTATTGTTGATATTCACCCCATATGTACCAAGTGTTAGATTAGTTTTATTGATATTAAAGAAATTTCTTGGTATTCCTAAACGGAAGATTTTATACACACAGAAGAAGAAGTATACTTAACAACAAAATTATTTTCATTTACCTGTGTATAATATGACGCAGGTTTCTTCAAAAGGGATGATTTTCTAAAAAGTGTTTGAAATTTCACAGTGACATCATACTTTAACTTTGTTTAAACCTGTTTATTTACTTTTGACTTTAATTATTTATCCCTTGCAATTTTTTATTAACTGTGTATTTGCATTCAGGTGTCACAGGTCAAATTTATTCGTTCATTGTGTGTTAATTTACGTTTTTTGATTGAGTTAAGCCTTCCAATTGATATTTTATAGTGTGTTTTTCTATGTTGTCATGTTACACTATTGTTTCAGAAAAGGGAAAAGGTTTGGTACCATTAAAACGTTTAATCCCGCTGCAAATGTTTGCACCTGTCCTAAGTCAGGAATCTGATTACAGTAGTTGTCGTCTGTTTATGTAGTTCATACGTGTTTCTCGTTTCTCGTTTTTATATAGATTAGACCGTTGGTTTTTCCGTTTGAATGGTTTTACACTAGTAATTTTTTTGGGGCCCTTTATAGCTTGCTGTTCGGTGTGAGCCAATGCTCCGTGTTGAAGGCCGTACCTTGACCTATAATGGTTTACTTTTATAAATTGTAACTTGGATGGAGAGTTGTCTCATTGGCACTCATACCACATCTTCCTATATCTATGGGATGGAGAGTTGTCTCATTGGCACTCATACCACATCTTCCTATATCTATGGGATGGAGAGTTGTCTCATTGGCACTCATACCACATCTTCCTATATCTATGGGATGGAGAGTTGTCTCATTGGCACTCATACCACATCTTCCTATATCTATGGGATGGAGAGTTGTCTCATTGGCACTCATACCACATCTTCCTATATCTATGGGATGGAGAGTTGTCTCATTGGCACTCATACCACATCTTCCTATATCTATGGGATGGAGAGTTGTCTCATTGGCACTCATACCACATCTTCCTATATCTATGGGATGGAGAGTTGTCTCATTGGCACTCATACCACATCTTCCTATATCTATGGGATGGAGAGTTGTCTCATTGGCACTCATACCACATCTTCCTATATCTATGGGTTGGAGAGTTGTCTCATTGGCACTCATACCACATCTTCCTATATCTATGGGATGGAGAGTTGTCTCATTGGCACTCATACCACATCTTCCTATATCTATGGGATGGAGAGTTGTCTCATTGGCACTCATACCACATCTTCCTATATCTATGGGATGGAGAGTTGTCTCATTGGCACTCATACCACATCTTCCTATATCTATGGGATGGAGAGTTGTCTCATTGGCACTCATACCACATCTTCCTATATCTATGGGATGGAGAGTTGTCTCATTGGCACTCATACCACATCTTCCTATATCTATTGGATGGAGAGTTGTCTCATTGGCACTCATACCACATCTTCCTATATCTATTGGATGGAGAGTTGTCTCATTGGCACTCATACCACATCTTCCTATATCTATTGGATGGAGAGTTGTCTCATTGGCACTCATACCACATCTTCCTATATCTATTGTGACTTGGATGGAGAGTTGTCTCATTGGCACTCATACCACATCTTCCTATATCTATTGGATGGAGAGTTGTCTCATTGGCACTCATACCACATCTTCCTATATCTATGGATGGAGAGTTGTCTCATTGGCACTCATACCACATCTTCCTATATCTATGGATGGAGAGTTGTCTCATTGGCACTCATACCACATCTTCCTATATCTATTGGATGGAGAGTTGTCTCATTGGCACTCATACCACATCTTCCTATATCTATTGGATGGAGAGTTGTCTCATTGGCACTCATACCACATCTTCCTATATCTATTGGATGGAGAGTTGTGACATTGGCACTCATACCACATCTTCCTATATCTATGGATGGAGAGTTGTCTCATTGGCACTCATACCACATCTTCCTATATCTATTGGATGGAGAGTTGTCTCATTGGCACTCATACCACATCTTCCTATATCTATTGGATGGAGAGTTGTCTCATTGGAACTCATACCACATCTTCCTATATCTATTGGATGGAGAGTTGTCTCATTGGCACTCATACCACATCTTCCTATATCTATTGGATGGAGAGTTGTCTCATTGGCACTCATACCACATCTTCCTATATCTATTGGATGGAGAGTTGTCTCATTGGCACTCATACCACATCTTCCTATATCTATTGGATGGAGAGTTGTCTCATTGGCACTCATACCACATCTTCCTATATCTATTGGATGGAGAGTTGTCTCATTGGCACTCATACCACATCTTCCTATATCTAT